TAAAAAAATATTTCTCATTTCCTTCATATTCATTTAATATGAAAAAATTTTTAATAAACAAATTTATATCATTATTTAGATAGATGTTGACGCTTAACGTTGGCGTTATGCGTTGACGTTAACGTTGATTGCTTGCTTTTTTGCAAGCAGGTCTTGCGAATACGTTATGCGTTGACGCTATGAGTTGACGTTTATGTTTATCTGAATTTATGTTGTTGAATTTATTATAAATTTGTTTATCTATTAAATTAATCGATATAAAACCAAACTTATTTTTCCAACAAATTGAACATAAAGATTTAAATTTATCAAAAGTTAAAAAATTACTTATCTTATCTTTCCATATTTTCCTAATATAAAAATCCGACTCCTCAAATAAAACTAAAAAATTACAATTTTGTCTAATTGATCTTGCCTCTAATAAGGTATAATTCTGGCCAATATAAATACATGAAATATTTTTGGATCTGGATCTTACAAAATAATCTTTCATTCTTTCCTGTTTTTCTAAAATGTAATCATCAAAAACAACTAAACTATTTGGTTTACAATCATCAACAGATATTATCTCTTCATTGGTTATATATACCTCTTTATGTACCTCATTTCTCAAATTTGCAAATATTTCTTTCATACCTTCATAAATTGGCTGCTCTATATTTTTTGTAAAAATATAAAGATTATCAAAAGGAACCCAATAATTAACAATAATATTAAATAATAAATTAGTTTTTCCTGATCCAGAAGAACCTATAATCAAACAACGCATAGGTCTTGGAAAAATTGAATTTGATATATCATTATCTTTAACTAAATTAAATACCTTAATTTCATAATTATTATCCATTTAATATAGAAAATTAATATAAGCTTAAAAATTAAAATTCCTATTAAATTTTTTTCTTATTAAATATATATAAATATAAAAATGTCTGAATTAAAAATGTCTGATTCAATTGATTCAGTAGACTTAAAAGTTCGATTAAATAAATATGGATACAAGTATAAATTTATTAAATTATCAGAACTGGTAGCTGACAAAAGATATGAAGTTACTGCTTTTGAACTTGTTAACATTAATGGGCAGGATAAAGTATCTGTTGTATTGGATAATAAATATAAGCTCATTTTACCAGATAGATATTTTAAAACTATTTCTGAAAATATATATGAAATTAATGATAAAGAGTGGTCTACACTTTACCTTTATTACAGGTATAAAAAAATACTTGATAATGGAGATTCATACCATCGTATAGAGTTTGAAGGTAATTCTTTTGACACTACTGTAATTAAAGTATTAAAGAAATTAAATGAAGAATATTACAAATATACAAAATTATCTGATTTAAATATCAATGAACTTTATAAAATAACAACAATTAGAAAAGTAGATACAAAATATGGTGAAAGAGTTTCTGTTGTTTTAAACAATAAGGATATGCTATTATTGCCCCAGAGGTTTATTAATATTATTTCTGAGTTAGATATAAACAGATATGATGGCGAAATGTATATGAAATATAAGGGTAAAAAAACTCTTGATAATAGGAAAACAATCCATTTGATAGAATTTGAATAACTTAACATTATTTTTTGTTATTAAATGAAATTAATCAAAATCATAAATGGTTCTATACATTTAGAACATTATATACATAATGAAAACCAAAGTATGTCTATTGGATTATATGCTTTGTCATTTATCAATTCTGGTGATTTAATCAAAATAGAAAATGATTGTCAGATAACAATTAACACTAACGTAATTGATATTAAAAGTGGGCTTTATACTATTGAAAAACTGGACAAATTAATAAAACCATTAATTATCTCTTTGATTGGTAAAAAAATTAAAATAGAATCTCCATGTTACTATAGTTTGGATGAAAAATTAAAAAAATATTTAGGTTTTAATGGTATTATATATTTTTCAACGACAAGTGGCAAAAAAATGTATTATCCCACTAGTGATGAATATTACATAAATATTGAAAAAGAATGTGAATTTAGATTAGGTCGAAATGGCCAAATCCCACTAGGTACAATATCCATAGGTATTTATTCAATAGGCGAAATTGAAAATTTATTTAATTCATTCGGAGTTAAATTTGTGGATAATTTTCCTAAAATAAATCTTGAAATAAATAAAAATGTATTAAAAATAACTGCTTCAATTGGTCTGTGCTTTGATGAATATTTATCAAATTGTTTAGGTTTTAATTTTATAAAACATATGATCCCTATTAATAAAACATGGCCTAAAGGGAAAGAAATAGAATTAGGTGTTGAGTATACATCACCAGATATTGCTTATACAGTAATAGGAATAAAAACTCCAAAATTTTACACCCAAGGTTTCCTAAAAGAAATAAATGGTGTTATCGAAACAGAAAATAGCAAAACTATAATAGGAAAGAAAAATTATACTATTGATCAATTAAATAAAATACTACCATCAAATATAAAAATACAACAAACAGATAAACAAATTACAATAATATCTAGTATTTATTATTTATTGGATGAAAATTTAACATCAAGCCTAGGATTAAGTAAAATATATATTCATACACATATTGGTTTAGATGTTATATTCAGTAATTATTTTGAAAATAGGTTTATCGAAGTACATTGTAATATAACTGAAAATTCCGTTTCTAACCATAAAACTGAGAAATATTTGCATATAGACGATGATATTTTATGTGTTGTTAAATGTGATAAGGGTGGCCAATATATAGCTAATGGGCTGTCATATAGTATGCGGTCTACCGGAAAATGCGTTCTACCGGCCGCTGTAGGATGCGGTCTACCTGCGGTTTTTACATAGGCTTAAGTTTATTTTTAATAGATACACTTTAATCTTTTTCTATCTTTTAGATATACTTTATCTTAATTGCATTATACACAGATAACAATACTTCAACATTTTGTAACAGTATTGGCTCAATAGCTCAGTATGTCATTTATTGCGCGACACCACATTTTAACACCATATTTTATACACCCAATATGTTGGCAAAAGATTTTTATTCAATAATTAGTAGTGACGAATCAACCACAAATTTTTTAATTAGCAAAAATCTTGTGGCAAATAATGAAAATGCCGAATGTATTAAGTGTGGAAGTGCTATGAATTTATACCTACGTAAGGAGAGAGGTAAGGAAAGGAGAGTTTTACGTTGTAAGAGAAAGGGATGTCAAACAACACAAACCTTAAGGTGAGAAAATTATTCTATTAATAATAATTATACTACTAACAATTATACTATTATATAGGAAAGATAATGCTTTTTGGACTTACATTGACAAGAATGGTCGTCTAAATAGTGGACTAAGCCTCAGTCAACAGTTAGAACTAGTGTTCTACTGGACTCAAGGTTTATCCAATAAAACAATCATGTCCTTAACTGGAAGATCGTCCAACACCGTATGTGACTGGATGAATTTGTGTCGGGATATACCACTAAAAATGTTCGAAAAACGTAATAAATTTGGAGGACCTGATGTCATCATACAAGTCGACGAATGTTTGTTAAGAGGATCCAGAAAAAATCATAAAGGTAATTTCTATTTTATAATTGTATAATTGAATACATAATAAAATAAAATTTTACATTGAATATTAATTATAAAATATTTTAAATCATCCTTATGTTGTTACAGGTAGATATCGACTTGCAGATTTGCCGAGTGAAAACATCGAAGACGAAAATGACGACCCTCTTGAAAATGGAAAAAAAAATTATGGTAGACGAATGGATGGTCCTTGGGTGTTTGGATTATGCGACGATAGTGAGGCACGATATTTTGTTGTCGAAAAGCGGGACAAGCAAACTTTGCATGACATTATTAAAAGAGAGGTTGTATTGGGTTCTATTATACACTCTGATGGATGGCCAGCGTATAATGGGATCGCCCAATATGGTTTTACGCATAACACAGTTAACCACAGCGAAAATTTTGTTGATCCACTAACACAAGCGCACACTCAGAGGATCGAAAGTTTATGGAGACCATTACGCTTAAAAGTAGTTAAAAATATGTGTGGTACAAGTCCTGATCTCCTTCCAAGGTAAAATTATTATAAGTTATGTTTAATAAATTTAATGTAATATTATATTATACATATTATTGCAGGTATCTCATGGAAACATGGTGGCGAGGAATAAATAAATCAGATTTATTTAATGCATTTTTAAGAGATATGGCGGAAGTTTTTGTATAACGTATTATATTATATTTATTTATATTCATTGACAACAATTTTTTTGACTAGACATTACTACTACAATAATTATACTATAATATTATGATATTTTTATTTTTATATTTTTTTATTTATTTATTCGCGGTAGACCGCATACTATATTCGTAAATCGCCGGTAGACCGCATACTATACTCGTAAATTCACCGGTAGACCGCATACTATATGACAGCCTAGCTAATGACATTAAATATATTCCTCTAAATGTAATAGATTTTAAACATATTAAATTATTTATCACCGATCAAGATGGTATTGAAATAATATGTAATGACTTTGTTGCATATTTAATTCTAAAAACATAGATCTAGATAGTTCTATAACACAATGTTTTGACGCTCGCCCCATACGGGTGAGCGTCAGATACTTTGTAAAATAAATTCTATGTTTGACGCGTGCGTAAATATCGCACACGTAATTTTATTATTTTTAATTTGGCAAATAAAATATTATAATATTTAAACAGCTTAAAACAGCAATATTTTAAAAAATGGAATATATACCGCCCTCTATTTCATTGATTTTTAACTACTATCGAATATTCTAGAAGATATTATTATTATTATGATTTTAATTATCAATTTCTTCTAGAATATTGTTTTTTAGTTGAGTTATATAGTACCAAGTCGAAAGCTCTGTTATACCTTTTTGTTTTATAATTTATTAAAAGTGTTTAAAAGTTAAGTATCTATAAAAGCATCTTAAATTTTTTATAAACTCAACTTCAGAATGAATAATAATGATTTAGACAGTGATTTATCAAACTATAATAATGAACAAAATACATCAGCTTCACAAGCGGATAACAGAAATATATCTGAAGATTTATCAGACTTAAATATACAATCTACATCAACTTCCGAAGCGAATGAAGAATTCAATATTGAAGAAGCAATAGAAGATTTACAAATAATAATGTATGAATTAACGATAGTATTAGAAATTATAGCTGGTATAAATACTATTGAAAAATTTAATGATGTTCTTAAATATACCTTTTCCTATTCAATTATCAATACGCTCATAACAGAATAAATTATCTGGTCTATCTAGCATGTTTAATAAAGATATTAAAATATAAGTACTTTTGGGTGTATTTATTATATTTTTATATTTTTTAATTAACAAATTAAGAATTTTTTTCTTTTGCTTAACTATTTTATCAATATTTTCAATACCTTTATTATTAATAATAATTCTTTCTTTTTTGGCCAAAGATTCCAATTGTTTATAAAGATTACCCATTATTTAAATATAAATTTATATATTAATATTATTATTATATATTTATTATATATAAATTTATCAGTTTCTAACGTGCATCGATTTTCCGTGCACTAGATATCAAACAATCATAAAAAGAGAATGGATAACATGAATAAAAAGAACAATTAATGTAAAATTATAATATAACATAATATGTGTTCTTAAATATACTTTTTTCCATTTGAGTATCAACAAATACCCGTGGCCTAGTGGTCTAATGCGGCAGCATGTGTCCTGCCGGTAGCGGGTTCGAATCTCTCCGAAATTTTTTGTGTATTTACAACTGTTCTAATGGTAATAAACACGGCCGCGCGCTCATGGCATGAGCGAGGTCAAATAAAAATAATAATAGTAATAAACACGGCCGCGCGCTCATGGCATGAGCGAGGTCAAATAAAAATAATAATAGTAATAAACACAGCCGCGCGCTCATGGCATGAGCGAGGTCAAATAAAAATAATAATAGTAATAAACACAGCCGCGCGCTCATGGCATGAGCGAGGTCAAATATGAAATAAAATGTGTTTAATAATAATGATAATAATTGATAACGTTAAATATAATAGTAATAAACACAGCCGCGCGCTCATGGCATGAGCGAGGTCAAATAAAAAGTGTTTAATAATAATGATAACAGTAAATAATGATAATAATTGGAATTTATGGGATTTATTAACAATTCTGACACGGTCGAATTATTCGACCGTGTCAGAATTAGAAATTATTATAAACATTTTATAGAATTTTTAAAAAATAATGATATTAAATTTGAACAAATTGATTACAAACATGAAAAATGCAATAATTATGAATATATAACATATTATATTAAAATTCCATAAATCTAAAAATATATCATTATTTGTCAAAATCATTTTATTATGCCCGCGCAACTACACTTGCGGCTAAATTGTATATATTATATATATATATTTATATGTAAGGTGGATCTAACACTCACCCTTATGGGGTGAATGTTAAAAATAAACATGAACTGTAGTTGCGGCTAAATTAAAGATATATATTAGAATACACTGTACCTATACAATATTATGTTTTAATAAAACAACTTTTTAAAGAATTACATTTTTTACATTTTGCAGACATTCTTTTCAAATTATTTTTAGTCATAATTATATGTGGATTAATATTATCTGTTTTTTGTTTACATTTAACACAATATATATTTCCCATTTATAAGAAATTAAATTAATATAATGTTTAATTATGCTGTATACTTGTAACCGTTAAGTTGTGTCTGTTTTAAATATTTTTCTCTAGGGAAAAAGTTAATAGTTTCTTTAAAATCTGCTTCTTTTAAACATATACTATCCTCGTTTATTTTATTAGATCTATACAACAATATCAATTGATTATAAAATTTATAACAAATTCTGTATTCTATAATTCTTTCGTTAAGTTTATAAGATTTTTCAAAAATTTCTACAATTCCGTTTAATAACGAAAACATTGTTAATAAAGGTAATAAAAAATAACCAATCGGGCCAATTGTGCTTAGAAACAATTTTAAAGCTAGTAAACAAAAACTGACTTTTGAATAATAATTGTAACTTTTTCTATAAACTAACATATTTTTTTCTAAATACGTTTCCATTTAAATATGGTTATTTATAATAGCTATAGAACAAAATTTTAGAATTAAAAACGCGTCCCTTTTTGGGGGACGCGTTAAATATAGATTTTATACATCTAAAATTACATTATTCATGTTATCCATGTTCATGTTTCATATTCATGTTATCCATTTGTAATTTTAACAGATTTGTTTAGATTTTTTGTAATTTTTAACAGGAAAATATAAGGTCGGTTTTTTTTAAAATTTTTTATTGTTAAATATAGATATGAAATGCATACATTTTTAAAAAAATAATGATATTGAATTTGAACAGATTTGTTTAAATTTTTTGTAATTTTAACAGATTTGCTTAGATTTTTTTGTAATTTTTAACAGGAAAATATAAGGTCGGTTTTTTTTTTAATGTTTTTTCAATGGTTTTTTAGATTTTTTTTATGCTTTTTTGTGTGTTTTTTATGCTTTTTTATGTTTTTTATGCATTTTTTAATGGTTTTTATTCATTTTTTAAAGATTTTTTAAGGCGCTTTTTTGTAATATAAAAAGTGTACCATACGTGCCCATATACTACTATTATTTTATATTGATTGTGTTAATTTATGTCAAAGGCATCAGCGAAACGATACATTATTTAGCTATGGTCGTAAACGTTAATAAAAGGATGAACATAATATACCTAATATTACACACTTATATTTATTGAGATGTAGGAAATCATGCAGGTGTATGATTAGACCGTTTTTGAGAAAAAAATATGATGATACACAATAATATGTATATGTATTTGTTGTAATTAATGTTATAGACAATTTCTCTCTTGAGGTGTGGGTGTAGGTGGAAAAAAATCGTAATGAAAAATGAAACGACATGTTCGTTTATTTATTTATTTTGATGCTAATGTTCTCGGAAACTACTCGACCGCCTGTCTTAATTTTTTTTCAATGAAAGATTATGCCACGGAGAAGGTTTCTATAATTTGCATACATAAGAACAAAATCATTATTTTAAAAATACATTGATATTAGTATATTATGATGTTTAGGTAAGAAGTAATGTATACAGTAACGTATTGAATTAAAAATTCAAATTATATTCACAGAAAGTTTTTACTTTGGTTTTTCAATAATTTGTTGATAACGACAAATTTATTTTAACATAGATTATAAAATAGCTCAAAGGTTATTATTTTTCAAATTATGTACCTATATATATTCAGAAATCGTAGAAATTCTTTGGAAATTATAGGAAATCTTTGGAAATCAATGTAAATCTTTGGAAACCACTGGAAATCATTGGAAATCTTCAATCTGGTGCACACAGTTTTGTATAGTGGTTTACCCTATACGAATTCACGATATGTTTTTATATTGCTATTAAAGTAATATAATATAACATATAATAATATATATTATTTTACTACTTTTATTAAGGACTACGGTATGTTGATTACATTTTTGACTGAAACATCGCATTTAATAATTATAATAGTACATTATTTTTATTGTGTAGGTACCAAATTAATTTTTCTAGTTTTTAATTTTTTTTTCTTAAATTAATCAAAAGTCATATAAAAAATTATACTACATGAATAGTGAATACGTTTTATCCATATTGCATGTGGGTCCGAGAGAGAAAAAAAATATTTCTCTGAAATACTTTTAAAAATATTGTTAATTATCTATGTAATATAATGATTTTTGTCAATTAATGCACTAGGTATATTTGCTATGATGTAGTAGGCACATTGCTAGGATTACACAATTAGGGTGCCCTAATTATCACCAGCATTTTTCTTGAGTGTCGAACATTTACTTCCCCTTCCCCCTAGTTACTAGACACTAATTGAATTTATAAGTATGTTTATACTTAGATTCTTGGTGCTTCGATGATGCTATTTTTTCATTGAAAACTGAGATTATAAAGGGACATACCTAAGTCTTTATCTTTTTATTGCTATAATAATATAGTAACAAAAGTACAATTGGTATCAACCCTATTCAGTATACTGCAGGTATATATTAGCATAGCTTTATTTGTAATAGTTGATTATAGTAGGAAATCAGAGATTGTAATTATATTTATGGATTCAAAATAAGTAGGTACTTACTTACTTATATAACTGCGCATAGTACGCAGAATAATTATCATGGAACCAATCTAACCATCGCTAACCAAACAATGATATCGTGATGGCCGATGGGATATGCTGAATTAATGAGAAAGTTTTCAAAAGTGAGCAGGGAAAAATAACACAACAATTAAGGAAAAACGGGATTTTTCTACGGAAAATCTGATTTCCACAAAATCAATTTTGGTTTTTGGTGTAACTCTTAAACAAATGACTTTAGATGCATGAAATGTTCACTGGTTGTTTATATTAGAATTTTCTATTCACGATAAAAGTTTTGAACTGTCTATCGATAAATTCAGTTTACAATTTTTTTAGTTTTTTTTTTATGAATATGAATAAAATTGTATTTATTTTGTTAAATAAATTGAAAATTTAATACAAGGCTCTTAATATATTGTTACAATGACATTTGATAAATATTAAAAATCCATAATCACATTTTTTTTTATAAGAATTTAAAGTTCGAATTTTGACAAATGGCTTACAAATCACGAAAATGTGCAAAATTATATTGAGTTAGCAATTCATAAAACCTTTTCTTTAAAAACAAACATATTACCTTGGCTCGTCTGTAGATTATATTTGCGTGGACAGCCAGATTGATATCCGACGGCGCACTCGTCAAGTCGTCCGACGAGCTGGACAATTCTTTCTTTTCGGTGGCCATTATTCATGGATTGGTTTTCGATTTTTTTCATCTATTTCTTCTGGACTGCAGAGAGGGACAAATCGGTACCCAATTAAAATCGCATACAACGGTTGTTAGGTAACGCGAAATAATAATATAATCGTAAGAAACTGCTGCTGAACCCACAACTGTTGAATACAGTTTTCACGGTTTTGTCGGTACACATCGTAACCTAAAACAATTTTATTTTATTTGACCTGTTTTTTTATGCATCCAATATGTATACGTGATTTAATAATTTATGGTTAACTGCTTGTATTATATTTTTAAGCTTTTTGACTAAACGAATAATTTTTTTTGACATTTTAAGAAAAAAAACTTAAATGAATCAATTATAACCTATAATCTAAGCGAAG